CTAGAATGCAGTGCTAAGATTATAACAGATTTAGGGGCAGCTGAGTATTCACTCATTCAATAGACATCTTTCTTGATGCTTAACAAGGATCAAGCACTAAACAAGTATGATATCATGGATAAGATGGTCTTTTTTCCTCAAGTGACAAAGAGTAGATATATTTATTAGATGCCATGTAAATATCTACTCGGAAATTACGATAAATGCTACAGAAAAGTATGAGTTATAATAATATATACTAGGTTAGATTTTTTAAAAAATGGCTCCCCAAAGAAATTCACATTCTAATCCTGAAATCTGTGATTTTCTCTCTTTACAAGGCTTACAAGGTTTTGAATGTAAGGGGAGTATCTTGAATTATCCAGGTGTACTATTGTAAGTGAAAAGATCCTTAAAACATGAAGGAAGAAGAGGAGCAGGTGGAAGAGGGACTGGTGAGAGCGACTTGTTACCAATCAAGAAAATTATCAAACTGCCAGGTAAATACTAATACAAAAAGTATACATCCAGTACCACTAGGACAGCTGCCTGACTAGCAGAAGGCTTCTTAATGAGGGCTTTTCCCACTTGGTACCAGTATTCAAGAAACATTACCTGGACAAATACTGCCAGAAATACCTCACATTCCTTATGTGAACTTTTGGATTAATTTGTGGTTGTTGTGTTTTCAGACGTTCTTTTCCTGTGGTGCCACTTTGCTAGCCTTGAAGACGGAGGAAGGGAGTAATGAGTCAGATTGTCATGGTTTTTTGATTTATTATGGACATTGGGTATTTTTTTGTCTGAGCTATAATAAATAGAGCTGATAAGTATACTGTGATATATCTCTCCTTCAGTATATAGCAATTCTTGCAGGGTGATCAGACTGAATCTACTTTTCTAAAACAGAAAGATTTTTCTAACACTCATAGCTCTGGGGAATCCAGAATGTCAAAAGGCATTCAAGGGACAATGAATGAGGGGAAAAGTAGGTTAGCCCAAAAGTTTAATGCTTTTCCGTTCCAAGCAGAGATCTTCCTCTCCAGATTGTATGGGTTCCTTGAGGTCAGGGACCATGTCTTACTCACTTCCGTTTCAAACCTACAAGAGAGTCTGTTACCTGGCAGATACTCAAGACACTTGCTTAACTAACTCAACTGCAGATTGTATTTTATAGCTTATAGATGTCATTGAAGCTTTGTTTGTTGTTTGACTTTTTGTTTTTGCGGGGTGGGGGGAAGTGCTACCATATCCAATGATGCTCTGGGAATACTACTGGCTTGTTACTCAAGTGACCACATGGTGCCAGGAATACAATCAGGAGCTCTCTCATGCAAAGCATGCATCCAGCTCTTTGAGCCATCTCCTGGTTCCTGGAAACTTTTGTTACCAACCAAGAAAATTACCAAACTTCCAGGTAAATACTAATACAAAAAGTATACATCCAGTACCACTAGGACAGCTGCCTGACTAGCAGAAGGCTTCTTAATGAGGGCTTTTCCCACTTGGTACCAGTACTCAAGAAACATTACCTGGACAAATACTGCCAGAAATACCTTACATTCCTTATGTAGATTTTTGGATTAATTTTTGGTTGTTGTGTTTTCGGATACCTGTTACTTTTGCCAATTTTTCTATGACCACCCTCACTACACACATTCACTTACACAATTTGAGAAGGTAGCACTCGAAGACTGAATTCTCCCTCTACATTCTGAAAGTCCTGCCAGATCAAAGAATTACAGAATTACATTATGTTTGATAAATTACATTCTATTTTATTGAATTACATTCTATTTTACACCTAGTGGTGCTCCAATGATACTCCCAGTTCAGTCCTGGGGTATTGTTCCTGAGGGTCCTCAGAGGTCTGTGTGATGACAGAGATTAAACCCACGGCTGCTCACACACAAAGCCTGCTCTCAGCTTTGTGTGCTTTCTTAGGCCTCAGAATGACATTTTTTAGGTGAGTAAGAGAGAAACCTACTTCCTAGGCTGATATGGTGATAGAATGAATGTGAGAACTTATTAAATGTACATTTTTTTCCCAGCACCTATCCCAATACCTCTAACAATGTACCTCATTCCTGTTCTCAGTAAAATCTGGAAAATTCTGATATAGAAAACACTCATAGGGAAAAGAATGATATGTGCAAAAGTATGAATATATCAAAAAGCCAGAAAGAATGTGAGGAAACCAGATGAAGTATTAATAGGAAAGCTGACTGGTAGTATGATTACCAAAGGCTGGTCGTTCTGACAAGTTTTTCCATAAGACCTTTTCTTCCTATGCTAAGGAATCTTATGAATAATGCAAGATCTTGGGAAAGAAAGTAAGTTTGGGAGGAAGAAATAACTGGACACATTGAAGAGAACAGAATTCAGAAGAGAGATTTGTAAAGCATAACTGGGAGTATTTAATTACCAGTTGTAGTAGAGAAAAAAAAGGGGAAAAAGAAAAATTTTATTTGGAAGATTATCTTCATTATAGACAGATGTTATGGTAAAGAAGCATTGCAGGGTACGATGATGGTGATAGTACAACAAGTAGAGCATTTGCCTTGCACATGGCTCACCCCAGTTCCCTCCCTGGCCCCCCATGTGGTGTCTCCCAAGCACTGCCAGGAGAGATACCGGAACTCAGAGGCAGGAGTAAGCCTGGAACACTGATGGGTGTGCCCCCTTTCAGGCCCCAAATAAGAAGCACTGCATTTGGGATTTGAGTTTTGCATGACAAATGATAGCAAGTCAAAGTGTTTAACAAAATTAATGGAAATACAATCCTTCACCTTGAAAGAAATTTCTGAGTGGAGAATATGGGTCACGAAATCATTAGAACTATGGGGATTATCTCGTCCGCACGGCAGAGCCTGGCAAGCTACCCGTGATGTATTCGATATGCCAAACACAGTAACAACAAAGTCTCCAATGGAGACGTTACTGGGCCCACTCGAGAAATTGATGAACAATGGGAGGACCGTGACGGTGAATAGGTAAAAAAGCAAAAAATGGGGGTGGGGGGGTGGGGAAGAGACAGGCTAAGTAGCACCTAGAGGAGAGATCCAGGGAAACAAAACAGAAAAGCCAGCCACCGCAATCTTGGCTACTCTAACCCAATACCATGTCCCCAAGCTAAGAGAAAAAATAAAAATATTTCTACTATGACTTCACTTATTATAAAATATATTTATCACCTATCTAAAAAATTCCAATACTTAGTAAAATTCTAGAAAACTTTCCTTCGGTTGGCCCAATCAGCAAAAATTAACATATAAGACCCACATAAGCCATTGGTTCTTAGATTCAAGAAGACCAGTAAGCCTTTGATATTTAGATATTAGGATTTTAGTTGAGTCTCACTTCTTTGGACACATTATTATCTCCAGATGTTTCCTGGTCTTATAAAAGAAAAATCAGGGATCCAAGAGATAATTCAGCCCCCAGAAAACACTCCTGGCATGACCAGGGCCCAAGTTAGAACACAATCTAAGTGTGGCCTGCCAGCACTGCAGGTTGTAGTTCTGGCAGTTCCTGGTACCACAGCATCCAAGCAGGTCTCCATTCTTGGGTCCTAGCACTGGCATCTGGCACACTGCCCGAGAGAGTAGCACCGGGAGGCTCAAGGCCCCCAAGCTCTGCTGGGGAGCTACTCCATTCTCAGGAGGCTGGATAGCATGATGAGATCTTGCTTCTAAAAATCTAATATTTCCAGAATCCCGGGCAGGTCTGAGCTGGAAATCTTCAGCAGGTTTATTCTGCGGTAAATTCTGATTCCTTGCCCCACCCCTCCCCCTTCCTCAGCGAATGCTCATTGGGGAATGCCCAAAGTATTTAATACTTTGCCAGCTGCTGTCACAAGTCATTCATCCACTCTGAGTCTGTCTGGTGTCACATCAGAGGAATGGCATCTCTTTGTACCCCACCTAGCAGATCCTCCAAATGGCTCTTTGAGGAAGCACAGGGCACTCCCCTACACCCCAACCACAAATGCCACACGCTCTCTTTAAGTGCTAAATGAGTCAACTCCTCTAAATGGGGATACCCTATGAAGCTCCACACCTCAATAACTAGATTATTTTGTCCAGAATTTTTGTTTTTTGGGTTACACCTGGCAGTGTTCAAGGGCTTACACTCTGTGCTCAAAGATCACCCCTGACGGACCATATGGGATGCTAAGAATGGAATCCCAGTTGACCACATATAAGGCAAGTGACCTATCTGCTTTATCACTCTGGCCCCTGGAGCAAATTTTTCTTTTCAAAGGAAAAGAAAACCTTTTATTTTTAAAAAGCCTAATGACTTCCTTGCAAGAGAATTTACTTAACCAACATCGGAGTGGTATGAAACAGGAATTGAACCACCGAAGTCCCTCTCTTTCAGTTGATTTTTTTTTTGCAAATGTGTGCCACACACTATCCTGATTCCTGGAGTTATAAATAAAATTTTTTTAAAAAGACAATCTTTGAGGTCATTTCCGATTATTGTTGCTTGCCAGAAAAAAACAACGATTAGTAAATTTCTAGAAAGTCTGGAGTATTTCCTTAAGGACTAGAGCACGACCTTCATTCAGGGAAGAGACAAACTTTGCAATGCAATCCCTCGACTTTGTGCTCTGCGCCTTGATCACAGGCCTTCAAACGCTCTGCTTCCGACACGCCCCCGCAAGACCCGCCCCGAAGGCCCCGCCCCGAAGGCTCCGCCCCGAAGGCCCGTCCTGCAGGTCCCGCCCCGAAGGCTCCGCCCCGAAGGCCCCGCCCCGAAGGCCCCGCCCCGCAGGCCTCCCTCAGGTCCCGCCCCGAAGGCCCCGCCCCGAAGGCCCCGCCCCTCAGGCCTCCCTCAGGTCCCGCCCCGCAGGCCCTGCCCCCGCAGGCCCCGCCCCTCAGGCCCTGGCCCCCAGGCTCCGCCCCTCAGGCCCTGGCCCCCAGGCTCCGCCCCTCAGGCCCCGCCCCTCAGGCCCCGCCCCCGAGCTCGCCCGTCTCCCAGCAGGCGCCTCGCGCGTTGTGCGCGGCGTTGCGCGGCGTTTTCCGTCTTTGCTGCCCTTCCAGGTCTCGCGGCGCTTGGGAGATGGCGGAATTGGACATCGGGCAGCACTGCCAGGTGGCACATTGCCGTCAGAAAGGTGATCTTGGAGACCGCGGGTCTCGCTCTGCCTTCCCGATCGGTGCTGCCGGGGGAGGCGAGGCCTTGAGGCCGGGCGGAGCTAGAGGAGAACGGGGAGGGCGCGACCCGTCCGGGGCCGGCTCGGAGCTGGTGCGTTTTTTGGAAGAGAGTCGCGGCCTCCTGGAAAGGAGCCAGGCAGGGCAAGGAGGACCCGAAACCTGGGCCTTGCAATGCCCACCAGTCCCTTCTGATGCGCGTGGGCAGGAGGATGCGGAGCTCCGGCGCCTGTAACCGCGTTCCCCGCCGATCCCGCGCAGCCCCCAGGGGCCAGCCACTCCTTTCCAAACTTTTGGGTTGATTGCGTGTCCCAGTAAGCTTCTTAAAAGGGAATTCCGATCCTCCGCTGTTCCGCCAGATGTTCACTGATTGCTCTCTCCGCGTTCGATTGTGATGACCATCCGTTCGGCGGTCTGTCTCTCCGGATGCTGGGCTTCAGAAGGATGCAGGATGTGTTGCAGTGTCCTTTGAAACGAATCCAGCATGTGATAGCATTCATAATAAGGCGATGGGTTTTTTGTTTTGCTTTTTGGGTCACACCCGGCAATGCACAGGGGTTATCCCAGGCTCATGAACTTAGGAATTACTCCTGGCGGTGCCTAGGGGACCATATGGGATGCTGGGAATCGAACCGGCGTCGGCTGCGTGCGAGGCAAACGCCCTACCCGCTGTGCTACCGCTCCAGCCCCAATAAGGTGATGTTTTTACTGCACCGAAGGAAACGCATAACCCATCCTAGTAACCAGGGGCAGTGGGTCATCACTGCCTGAAACATTGGAGCCGCAGATTCGGACCTTGTTCTGGCTGTGCCAATTCAAGTGTATGCTGTCACATTTCACTCCTATCACGCAGAGTGGCAAATCTTTTCCTGTCCCAGCTTCAGTCATTGATAACAGATTCTTGAATCACGCCAAGGTTTTAACCTACATCTAGCGGAAGGGGTCCCAGTTGCCTAGTGCTTGCTGGTGGCAGTGGGCAAAGGCGGGCAAATCTTTCTGCATGTGCATCATGTCCCACCGGCTTAGACACCATCCACTCCGCAGGTGGTTCATACAGAAGTTTAACAGCTGGGTTTTAATTCTGAGTTATTGTAGACCTGGTTTACTCCATTGCTGTCATTTGGTGGGTGGGCACACCCAGCGATGCTCAGGGATAGTACTCCTTGGCTCTGTGCTCAGGAGTTAAGCCTGGCAGTGCTCTGGGATGGAAGTAGTGGGGGGACCATATGGGATGCTGGGGATCGAACCCAAGGGGTCAGCCATGCAAGGCAAGCTGTTCTATCCGCTGTACTGTATCTCTCCAGCCCCCAATTGCTGTCATTTTTTATGGACTTTGGTGATGGATTGCTTGGTATCTGCCGTCTTTGATCTAGTTTGTCTCCCTTTCCAATTCTGTGAATCTCTTAAATGGTAAATACCTGAGATGAGATCAGGTTCTAGTGGCTTTGCACTAGTAAAGATGGTTAAGACTTTAAATACGTTAAACCAGCTGGAGAGATAGTACAGTGGGTAGAGAGCACTTGTCTTGCAAGCAGCCTACCTTGGGTTCGATCCCCGGCATCCCATATGGTCCCCGAGCACAACCAGGAGTAATCCCTGAGAGCAGGGCCAAGAGTAACCCCTAAATATATCTAGTCATAGCCCCTTGCCTCGGCCCCTCCCCCCACAAATAATAAAATATGTTAAGCAAGTATTTCACTTCTGCATATCTGGAAAGGTGATTGCCAGGTGTTAGGAAATGATTAACACTTTTTCCCTGGGTCCTCTGGGTTTGCTAGTCAGTCACTCATAGTCTCAAAATATCCTTTCAGTTTGAGAAATACATGAAGTTTTGCAGACTATTGTTTGTTTCAGTTTCTTTCTGTTATTGAGAAATGGGGACATAGTTTCTAATTTGAAACACTTACAGAATAAAAAAAAAAAGGTGTCATGATTACAGAATAAAAAGTCATCTCCCTAGTGAGGGAGGGGTGTATTTCAGGCTGTGCCCCACAGGCAGAGTTATTCAAGGGTCCCTTGGGCTACACTAGCACTTTTTCTTTCTCTTTCATATTAAGTATATCCAGTATAGGATGACCTCTTTGGGAGGACATAGCAATTTCTCTAAAGAACAGTTGCCTTTGTGTGTCACCTTGTGAAAGCAGTATGATTGGATAGATCCAGACTCACTTGGCTATATATTGTAATTTAAGGGGATACACTTTATATTTTACTTTACTATCTTTGTATTTATATTTTGGTTTGGAGCCCACGCCTGGTGGTGCTCAGGGCTTATTCCTGGTTCTGCACCCAGGGATCATTCCTGGTGGGGTTGTGGACTGAGTGAGAAAGCACATGCCCTTTATTATTCCTGGAATGTGGGCTGCTTTAAAAACACCTCCTGGTTAGTGGCTAATTGCCACATCGGAGAATGGTGTTTTTATTTTATGCTTTCCGAAATTTTAGTTTCTAACTAGCTTTCTAGTTATTTATTTTTGATTTACATGTCATCAAAAAAAATACTCAACCAAAATTTTCAGTATCAGTCAATTCAATTACTGAGTTTCTGGAAATTTTTTGAAAACATCTCTGTCTAATCACTTATGACTTTTCTGGAGTTGAGTATGTTAGTAACAGGCTAATTCTTCTAACATTTGTGTTATGATTGCTATCTTACTGTTTTCATCTTTTATATATGTCTCATTTGTTTTTCACAATAATATTGAAGTAGGTGTAACTTATAACATACATATATACCCCCCTAAATACACACTTAAATATATACATGCTGATACTATATACTTATGTCTGTTTATATCTCTTACCTAATAGTAGAACTTTAGTTTTGTTTGCTTATACTACATGCATGTGCATATCCATATATACTGTATCAAATATGCATATACACTATACACATCAAAGTTATGTATTTAATGTATTATATGTATGAATATCTGTATGTTTGTATATTTATATATGTATATACACACATATAGAAATATGTTACTTAATATCTACTATTAAGTAACTTGCATGGTATTGTTATGCTGGTAGAGTCAGAATCAAAACCCAGATTTTTCACATCAGATGCAGGATTTTTGCAGTAAACAGCCTTCAAAAAACATCCAATAATCTCATTATTTTACTTCAGAGTTCTTGAGATTATAATGGTTTTTTGCTGCGCTGGAATATTGATCTAGAGGGAAAACTTCTCTAAAGGTGGTTCAGTACTTTAAGATTCTTTTTTGCAAAGAAAACTAATCAGACCTTGATACTGACCAGTAACTGTCACATTTTGCCTCAATTTTAGATTTTCTCCCATTTAAATGTGATGGTTGTTCAGGAATATTCTGGTAAGTTAAGTTTTTATGCAGGATTTCTGTGTAATTTCAGGATTTATCGTGTATGGTTTATTTCTGAAAAGCAGAATAATTTCAAATCGTATAATCCTCACCATTGATATTTGGCGTCCATTATGGTTAATTACTTGGGGGGAAAAAAAACTACTACTAAGCCCTGATCTTGCACATACATGTATCTTATCTTTAAATTTCTAAAATGGATTTCTCTGTGATTCATTTATTTTGGAGCCACAGCTGCCAGCTTAGTGCTTGTGCCTGTTCCTGTTGGTGCCCCGGAGACCCGGTGGAACCAGAAAATGATCCTGGGCCTCCATACGCAAAGCGTGTGCTCCAGCCCTTTGAGTTCTCTTCCCCAGCCCATGATGATTTTTTATTTTTTGTTGTTGTTGTTGTTTTGCTTTTTGGATCATACCCGGCGATGCACATGGATTACTCCTGGCTCTGCACTCAGGAATTACCCCTGGCAGTGCTCAGGGGACCATATGGGATGCTGGGAATCGAAACCAGGTCGGCTGTGTGCAAGGCAAACGCCCTATTCCCAGCCCCACCGTGTGTGATTTTTTACATAATAAGGTAAAGGTAAAGGTAAAGGCCCTCCCGTTGATCGTCGATTTGCTTGAGCGGGCCCAGTAACATCTCCATTGGAGACTTTGTTGTTACTGTGTCTGGCATATCGAATACTCTCGGTAGCTTGCCAGGCTAGTTGTATTTATATCTTTTATTCTCAAGGAGGCAACATCTCCGTATTCTAAGGAATATGGTAAAGAATGCAGTTACGCTTATTGTTCTTTGCCAGACACAGTAACAACAAAGTCTCCAATGGAGACGTTACTGGGCCCGCTCGAGCAAATCTTTGTAAATTAATACAGCAAAAACAAGCTAGGTTCAATATTTCATTACTGATGATTGGGGGAAGTAAAAGAATAAAAAGATTCATTTTCTTTTTCACACATAAAGCACGTAAAATAAAGTTGATTTAGAGTGGTGAATTCTTTTTTGGGGGGAACACATTGGGGTTGAACAGTTGTGTTGAAGTTGGGCTGGATGTGGGACTCAGTGCATTATAAAGAACATGTTTTGCATGCAGGAGACGTGGGTTCAATCACGACACCACAAATTAAAACAACTTTTGAAACTACAGATGCTCCATCTCAAATTTATGTAGCATTTCCATTTATTCATATCCACAGAGTTCTTTATGTAGTATGAGTATAATGAAATGACTTTAAGTATCTTAAGCTATATTAATTTATTATATCGAAATAAACTTCTTTTTTTCCTTTTTACTTCTTGAAGCCTTGAACACAGAAGCAGATCGTCACATAACTGTCCTGAGGTATGTTAATTTCTCTTATGTAATAGAACACCTTTATAGTCACGTACTTCTGTTCAGAAATGTCGCTGGTTTTGCTCTTTTGATTTTGGGAACACACCCGGTGGTACTCAGTGTTGCTTGTGGCACCAGGGTTGTTAGAGATCAGATCCATAGCCCAGAATTTGATTGTATTCAAAATCAGTCATTGCTCTTCAATTCAGTCTGATTTATGTGATGAGACTTTAGTGTTATTTTTCTTAGTTTGTTTTAAAAGAAAATTAATCTACTTGATATGTATAATTTTAGTTTTTTGTTTGTTTGTTTGTTTGTTTTGGGGTCACACCTGGCTGTGCTCAGGGCTTACTCCTGACTCTGCACTCAGGGATCACTCCTGGTGGTACTCCACAGACCATATGGGATGCCAGGCTCAAACCCACGTAGCCCACCTGCGAGGCATACACCCTACTAAACACTGTACTATTGCTTCAGCCCTGCGAAGTTTTATTCTCACAGCTCTTCTTTCATATTTTAGCTACGTTTAGGTAGCCAATTTATGACCGTAGACTGAAAATATACAAATTATTAATATCCTCATCCTTGCAGATTTCTTTTACTCCTCTTCATTTTCCCTGTTGCCCGGAGTTAGGATCTTTTGGCAGTGAAACGTTCTGATTTCAGTAAGCCTTTAACCATCAAGAACAAACATGTAGACTGACACAATGTACCCACTCTAATTCAAGTAAATAAAGAAATTTAAATGGACTGGCAGGTAGGAATAAAAATATGAGCTTTATTACTGACAAAGGGTTAATTGAGTTATAAAGCTTGGTATCGAGCCAAATGAGTCTGCACAGGAGATCCAGAATGGACAAGTTACCCCAACTCACAGCTGTGTTCATCTTTTTTTTTTTTCTTTTGCTTTTTGGGTCACATCCAGCAATGCACAGGGGTTAACTCCTGGCTCTGCACTCAGGAGTTACTCCTGGCGGTGCTCAGGGCACCAATGGGATGCAGGGTATCGAACCTGGGTTGGCCGCGTGCAAGGCAAATGCCCTACCCGCTGTGCTATCTCTCCAGCCCCTGTGTTCATCTTTTCTTCAGCAGCTTACATCTTCTTGTGAAGGGCAGGTTTGTTTTCAAGAGGCAAGAAGGAAGCTGGACCCACTATACTGAGAATAATTCTCTCAAACTCATGATCAGTTGCTCCATCTTCCTTGTGTTGGAGAAAGGGAGAAAGTTAATGAATTCATTCCATTTGGAAAGAAGCATTGATCTCAGATTTTTCACATGATATTTATTTCTTCCCACCATTTACCAAGAACTTCACTATAGAAATTAAGTTACATGGAAAAAAAAATGTTAAATGAGCTTCAGACAAATTTTTGCCCTTTGAAGTGTAGGTGACTAGTTAAAAAAAAAATATATATATATATATATTAAAATGTTTGCATTATGTATGGCTGGAGCGATAGCACAGCGGTAGGGTGTTTGCCTTGCACGTAGCCAACATGGCTGACCCGAGTTCGATTCCTCCGCCCCTCTCGGAGAGCCTGGCAAGCTCCCCGTGACGTATTCGATATGCCAGACACAGTAACAAAGTCTCCAATGGAGACGTTACTGGGCCCGCTCGAGCACATCGATGAACAATGGGAGGGCCTTTACCTTTACCTTGCACTATGTAAGATTGATGGGGAAGAAATATTCATTTAGCTTTATGGTAAACAGTAAATATAGTAGTGTTTGTTAGACAACTTCTAAATCTGTAACTATCACTTAGATGGGCAGACCTATTGATTGCAGATTTTAAGAATTATTTCTTTAAATCATTAACCTCTAGAAACTTATTCTTCAAAATAAACTGACTGGTACAGTTTTTTTTTTAACTTTATAAAAGTCTCATTTTTCTCTGAAATGATATATGTTGGTAATAGTATATTATGAAAAACTGTCTCCAGGGGCTGGAGCGATAGTACAGTGGGTGGGGCGTAGGGCGTTTGCCTTGCACGCAGCCGACCTGCGTTCGATTCCCAGCATCCCATATGGTCCCCTGAGCACCACCAGGAGTAATTCTTGAGTGCATGAGGCAGAAGTAACCCCTGTGCAACGCTGGGTGTGACCCAAAAAGGGAAAAAAAACCCTGTCTCTAGCCCTCTGTTTCATGAATATCATTTCTAAGAGCTGTTTATATACGGTAATCTTCTAGGTAGGTATAACTTGAGGATTAATGGGATGTTTTATAGAACATGTTTTATGGGGGCATCTTTTTGTGTATGGGACTAATATAAAGTAGGAGACTCAAAGTATAAAGAATATATGAAGGCTGGAATGATAGCACAGTGGGCAGGGTGTTTGCCTTGCACGCGGCCAACCCAGATTTGATCCCCAGCATCCCATATGATCCCCTGAGCACCGCCAGGAGTAATTCCTGAGTCCCCAGCCAGGAGTAACCCCTGTGCATTGCCAGGTGTGACCAAAAGGGGAAAAAAAAAAGAATATCTAAAGCAGCTATGTCAAATTCATTACCTTCCCCACCTAATGACAGACTTCACGCAGAAGCCTGTGAAGTGACATTGTGACTCATGGGCCTTGATCCCCTTCCCTGGGCTTCAAGGATAAACTTCATTACAGAATTAAGAAAAAAGGAAGAAAAAGAAAAGGAATAACTGAACAATCCTTTAACTTGACTTAGAAGCATGTCAGTAGGAAATGTAGTATAGTCATCAGCATGATGTAATTTCTCACACATGTATTGTAATCTGTTACATAAGTTGCCCTCAAAAGTTTAAGCAAAGCTGTTAAGAATCACTTTCAAGGGGCTGGAGCGATAGCACAGCACGCAGCTGACCCGGGTTCGATTCCCAGCATCCCATATGGTCCCCTGAGCACTGCCAGGAGTAGTTCCTGAGTGCATGAGCCAGGAGTAACCCCTGTGCATTGTTGGGTGTGACCCAAAAAGAAAAAACAACAACAACAACAAAAACCAAAAACAGATTTATTGATTTGCACTGAATGTAAATAGCATCTCCCTTTTTTCATTTTCAGGTGACGATAATCAATGAAGCTCCGAAGCCAGATACGCACACCTCTTACCCATGTTCATTTAGAGACTGCACTGAAAGAGAACTTGTTCCAGTTACATGTCCTTACTGTGAGAAGAACTTTTGCCTGAGGTGATTACTCAGGACCACTCAAGCTTTGGTTGTCTGGTTAAGTTTCATGCAAACCCATGAACTAGTGCCACTCTCCTGTTGCTCTTAGACACCGACATCAGTCAGATCATGAATGTGAAAAACTGGAAATCCCTAAGCCTCGAATGACTGCCACTCAGAAACTGGTTAAAGACATTATTGGCAAGTATCTGGAAAAATCTATTTTGTTGTTTAATTACTGTTTTATACTCTTAATATCCTATGAATGCTGCTTCATTTTTTTACTTTTGCTTTTTGGGTCACACCCGGCGATGCTCAGGGGTTATTCCTGGCTGTGGACTCAGGAATTACCCCTGGTGGTGCTTGGGGGACCATATGGGATGCTGGGGATTGAACTCGGGTCACTGCATGCAAGGCAAACACCCTACCCGCTGTACTATCGCTCCGGCCCAATGCTGCTGATAGATAATCTGAGAGCCCAGAAAAAAATGAATTGGTGACTTACATCAGTTCTCTTCCCAACATATTATTTCAGCAGAATTTTCATCCAGTTTTAAGGAGTTCTTTATTTAAATCTTTTAGATTGAAAGCTTAATGTTTTCTGTAGCAGTGATTGTAAAGAATTAATAGGCTCAAATTCAAAACAGGCAAGTAACAATGAAGTCTTTTGATGTGGAGATAGCTAAGATCAACTCAGTGACATTGTTTCACTGATCATGTTAATAATACCAAATCAACATGGTCTGTATGTATCTCTGTGCATAATTGTGTGCTCTTATCGTCATAATAAATACATATCAATGAAACTATGAAAAATGTAATGTAAAGCCTTTTGTGTGCTTACATGCTTGTGCTTATTTCTTAGATTCCAAGAAGGGAGAGGCAGCAAGTAAGCGACGGAAAGGTGCAAAAAACAGTGAAACAGCTGCAAAGGTAGCATTGATGAAATTAAAGATGCATGCTAATGGAGACAAATCATTGCCACAGGTTGGTCTTAGAGACTTTGAGAAATATTTCCAAACATAATCGAATCTCGATTCTATTCTTTCTGCAGTCACGTAACATATTGTTTACTTGAACCAGATATTTACGATTACTAATATTCAAGCTATGTGTTTGCAGAAACAGTATAGAGTTTGTGAGTGTTTTATACTTTATAGAAAGGGCAACAAACCTCGTGCATCCTTCTTTAGATTCTCTCTTTTGTTTTTCCTTGCTGGGCACCATGTTTTTAACATTTGTCCATAGTGATACCTTTTGTTTAGTTCACTGTCTTTAATGGCTATAATATGAATATAGCTTGCTCATTCTCGTATTGAACACAATCCGTTTCTCCCCAAGTTTTTTGCTATTACAAATTGTTTATCATCACATCCTTGTGTATGTATGGGAATGTTTCTGTAGTTTAGAACTTTATGATATCAGTGACAGTTTATATAAGAACCCAGCACAAACATAACATATATACATACACACACACACACACAATACCTTAATATAGTTCAAATAACACTTAAACACTTAAATTAAACTTAAGTACAATAAAAAAAACTGAGTGTATATACACTCAGATATTTTTCATTGTACTTAAGTTTAATTTATACACTGATTGTACAACCGCTGAAAGATTAATTCTGACAGATGGAAAAATGCTATTCTTGGAAATATACTTAAAGATTCCAGAGAAGTAGTAAAGGAGGTAAGGTGTTTGCTTGGCATGTACCCGACCTTGGTTTGATCCCTGTCACCACATAAAGTCCCCTGAGTATCACCAGAGGCTCTGAACACAGAGCCAGGAGGAGCTCCTGAGCACTGTGGGTGTGGTGTAAAAACTTAAGAACAGACATAAAAGGAAATACACCTAGAAAAGCTCAGTAACTTGATTTTCTGATCTTCAACTTTACGTTTACATCCATGGGATCTTTTGGTTGTTCTTTTTATTCAAATCCTCTTTCAAGCTATGTATTTATTTTATTTTTTAAAGATGCCTGGAATCAAACCCAAGGCCTCATACATGCAAGGCAAGTCTTTCACTGCTGAGCCACTTCTTGTAATGGGAGTGATACGTTGATCTGTTCTTAAGGGATGGCTAAATTCCTGGAACCAAATGCTGTTGGGAAAGTGCCCTGTTTCCTTCATTTTTTTTTTTTTTTGGATGAGAGAGGGGAAGGAGGTCAGTTAGAGCACGTCCCGGCAGTATCTGGGGATTTGGGGGGCCATGTCCAGCAATACTTGACCACCCAGCATCATACTTGTTCTGTGCTTACAGGCCATCAGGGCTATTTAGGTGGTACTTAAGGGTCCAGTGCCCAAACTCAGGGCTCCCCATGTGAGTCCTATGCTGCACCCATTTGAGCCATCTCCCTCATCCCCTTTTTCCCTTGTTGAACTCAGTCTTTCCCATCTGAGACTACTTTGTGCACATTGGTTTAGATACATGAGAACCTTGGGATATGATAGCCAGAGGCAACACTCGGTTTAATTTTACAACTATAAAAAGCTCTGAAAAATAAGAGCTCTTCTCACCACCACCCCCAACTTTTGAACATAAAGTCTTAGGAAAAGACATTGATTAGCCCTACTTCGGCCTTATGCTTGACCTTTCACACATCACCCCAACTAGGATCTCAGTTCTGTGTCTCTGCATTTAAGTAGGTGATGGAATGCTAAAATTAGTCACGATCACGGTCCTCCCGTTGTTCATCGATTTGCTCGAGTGGGCCCAGTAACATCTCTATCGTGAGACTCATTGTTACTGTGTTTGGCATATCGAATACATCACGGGTAGCTTGCCAGGCTCTGCCGTGCGGGCGAGATACTCTCGGTGGCTTGTCGGGCTCTCCGAGAGAGGCGTAGGAATCGAACTCGGGTTGGCCATGTTGGCTGCGTGCAAGGCAAACGCCCTACCGCTGTGCTATCGCTCCAGCCCACTAAAATTAGTAGTCCCGCGAAAAGTTCTGTCGGTAGAGAGTAATCCTCCTTTGATCAGAAGAGAGGAAGAGATGTCATGAGACAAATGTGTATAATCTGGGTGTAAATTTTATTTTTTTACAGACAGAAAGAATTTACTTCCAGGTTTACTTACCTAAAGGGAGCAAAGAGAAGAGCAAACCAATGTTCTTTTGCAACCGATGGAGTATTGGAAAGGTCATAGACTCTGCAGCTGCCTTAGCTAGTCTTAAAAATGACAATAACAAATTAACAGCTAAGGTAAGGGGACAACTGTTGATCGTTGTTTTTGCCTAAAAAAAAATTATATGATTATGTAACAAGCTATTACAGTCTGATTTCTTTCTCTCTTAATAGAAGTTGAGGTTATGTCACATTACCTCAGGAGAAGCATTACCCTTGGATAATACTTTGGAAGCCTGGATTGCCAAGGAAGATCGTCCTTTATATAATGGTGGAAATGTTGTCTTGGAATATCTTGATGATAAAGAACAGTTTTTAGAAGATGTTGATTCTTACTTGGAATAGTCAAGGGATCAAGCCAGGAATCACAATAAAAACTGTTCTTTTTTTTTCTTTTATTGGGAGTACTGTATATAAATATATATGTTTAAATTGATTTTTAATTACTTTTTTGTGGAGTTGTTTACATTATTAATTTTGTACTAATTTGAGTCTGTGGAAATTTTCATTCTTGGAAAGGTGGGGAGGGACTTTGGGCCATATCCAGTGGTAGAGGGGCCATGTAGTACCAGAGGTCAAACCAGTTTGGGCCTCATGCAAGATAAGTACCTTAACCCCTGTCCTATCTTTCCAGCCTGAGTTTTGTGTTTTAAAGTATAACTAGAGGGCCTGGAGAGATAGTCCTGCAGGTAGGGTGCTTGCATTGCTCACAGCTGACTCGGGTTCAATTCCTGTCATCCCATAAGATCCCCCAAGCACACCAGGAGTGAACCCTGATTGCAGAGCCAGGAATAAGCTCTGTGCACCCAAACCCAAATAAATAATGTGTAACTATCAGCCAACATTCAGTGATTTGCAAAATTTTATGTTCAGTTGACTTTATTAGGTTATGTAGTGACAACAAACTTTTTTGGCGTTTTATACATTTTTTCTATTTAGTTAAATACCATGAGTTACAGTTGTAGACTTACAAACTTTCGTGCTTGGGTTTTAGTTATACAATGATCGAGTACCCATCCCTCCACCAGTGCCCATTCTCTACCACCAATGATCCCAGTAGCCCTCCCACCCTACGCCCCCACCCTGCCTTTGTGGCAGGGCATTTCCTTTTGCTCTCTTTCCTTTAGGGTGTTGTGGTTTGCAGTAGCGGTATTGAGTGGCCATTGTGTTCAGTCTATAGTCTACTTTTTAGCACACATCTCGAATCCTGAGCGAATCCTCCAAACATCCTTTACTTGGTGTTCCCTTCTCTACCTGAGCTTCTTTTTCCCCCAACATGTGTTGTCAGCTTCCAAGCCATGGAGCAAATTTCCTGGTACTCATCTCAACTATACCTGGGTGTTTGTCTCCCAATCTGTTACTTTATATTCCCCAGATGAGTGCAGTCTATGTCTGTCCCTCTCTTTCTAACTCATTTCACTTAGCATGATAAGTACCTTAACCCCCTTTTCCATGTAGAATCACTTGTATGTAAATTTCATGACTTCATGTTTTCTAACAACCGCATAGTATTGTGTAGATACACTTTGGTTTTATACTTTTTTGGTTGATGTCAGATGGTCATGCTACATGTCCTCTTTATGCCAGGATCAAAGCTGAAGGCACAGTCAAGCCCTTTGGGTATCATTACTGGCATTATAACAGGAGAGACATTTAGAAGTACCATTTAGAAGACATTTAGAACCGTTTGCTTGAAGAGAGTGATGTGGCTAAGCCTAGCTTTATGGAACCCAGATTTACTTCCTATGAGAAATAAATGGCCGCATCCTTTTACATGGCCGTTTGGAGGGCACACATAACACGTATGTCAGTTGAGCCATCCACCTCACCACTGCTGTTGGTGTCTGTCAGTGGAAGAGGTATCTAAGTGGTGGATGGCTGGAGTCAGGACCAGAGAGACTCCACTCGTATCCGCGCAGTGCAGAGGGCTAGCTTCTCCACATGAGTGCTTTTAGTTACCTTATCTTGGCTGTGACCTTGTATGCTATCTCTGCACCACGACATATGATTAATGTTTTTGTATAAATTGAATGATATAAACTTAAGAATCATCTCATTCTCCAAGTTAATGGTATGAGAGAAATTTCTGTACTACAAAGTGGAAGTTATTTTCTTCATGACACCTAACTTTGCTTTGGGCTATGCTTCACTTTTGATGTGGAGGGGTTCTCCCAAACAGTACTCAACGCACCCAAGAGCCATTCTCAATAATACCGGTGCTATTTGAGTAAAGCAGTGACGAGGGTCTCCAGGACCATCTTAGTGGTACTTGGCAACTATGTGGTGCCAGAAATCTAAGCCAGGGCCTCTGTATACTAGCACATCGAACTGTCTCCGTAGATAGTGCCTTACTGCTCATGAAAACCATCTCCAGGGGCTACAAAGGTACTGCAAGGGTTAAAGCTTTTGCCTTGCAGGAAGCTGACCTCTGTTTGATCTTCACCAATGCATTTGGTTCCCTGAACCCCATTAAGAGTGACCCATGGGGGCTGGAGTAATAGCACGGCGGGTAGGGTAGGGCATTTGCCTTGCACACCGCTGACCTGGGTTCGATCTCAGCATCCCATATGGTCCCCTGAGCACTTCCAGGGGTGATTCCTGATCGCAGAGCCAGGAGTAACCTCTGTGCATCGCTAGGTGTGACCCCCCCTAACCCAAAAAATAAGAGTGGCCCTTGAGCGCAGAGCTAGGAATAACCACTGAGCACTACTAGGTATGAACCCAAACCTCCCCCCACCCAAAAATAAAAACATCCTCTAGTGGGACTTATTTTTTTTTTTTTTTTGTGGGGCAGGAGCATGCCTGGTGGTTTTCAAGGGCTATTCCCAGGTCATGCTTGAGCGGCTGGTCGCAGTGGTACTGGGGTATTGTAGTATTGGAAATTGAGCCTGGGCCTCCTGCATTCAATGCATGTACTCCAGCCCACAGAACTAGCTCTCTGGCCCAAGATTTGCCTTTTTAATTTATGTGACTATAGTTTAAAATGTGCCTGACATCCTAACAGAGACAAAACTAACCTTGAACATTGCCAGGTATGGCACAAAAACAAAAACAAAAAGGGAGAGAGAGAAAGAAGTTTTATAGTCAGACATTGGGGCAGAGGGGTGGGTTGTTAGGTTTGTGGAAGAATTTGCTGAGAGTATTAAAGGGGAGAGAAAAGTTTATTAAGAAAAAGGGGACTGAAGAGATAGTACAGCAGGCAGGGCCCTTACCTGGCCTGCAGCCAACCTGGGTTCAATCCCTGGCATCCCATATGGTCCCCTGAGCACTGCCGGGAAGAGTTACTGAGTACAGAGCCAGGAGTAACTCCTGACAATTGCTGGCTATAGACCCCAAAGCAAAAAATAAATAGCAGAAAATTCCTTGCAAGATAGGTGGGCTGAGCAAAAAAATAAATAAATAAACCTCCACTGCTTTAAGTTGAACTGTGGGCTCTTAAAGCTGACAGGTACTTTCTACGCTTGGGCATTGCTGACAGGTACTTCGACTGCACCCTGCTGATAGCAGTTTGGAGATTTATTGCCTGCAGTTCCTTCTAAGTGCGTGAGAACATGGATCCCACAGGGAACATGCTAGGGGCTCCTCATTGTGATTTGGATTTGAACAGGCCAGTTCCTTCCCTTTTTGAATTTCCCTTTGCCTCAAAATAGAGCTTCTGTTATCTCATGCCCATCAACAGCTATAATACTACAAATGAACTTTAGCTGAAGTGTAATGAGCCAGGAAATGAATGTGAATGGAAGCTCCCAGTCTCATCCAAATGTGTTAGCTTTTAGTTCCCAATCTTTAGATAAGGGGAAAGCTGGAGATCCCACCTAGGGGAAAGGTTGCAGGAAGGAATCTGGAGGGTATTTAAAAAACTCTTTTGCATTCTTCACATCTTTGAGCTAGGCAACACAAATTGAAAATGTAGATATTTGCTTACATAACTTTAAAGATAATTGTGCTTTTCCAGTTTTGTTTTATTTTTGTCGCCTTAAACAGAAAATTCCTTGGTATTAACTAGTATATCATAGCAACGTTTATACCTTTCCTCCTTTTCAAAAGTGGGAGGTGTCTTGCTTTTCTTAGTTTGGTACATAGAAATAGAGTGCATGTTTCATTTGAAAAATAAACCCAATAAGATGGGTGTTTTTAAAACTTTTGAAAATATCCAATAGAAATTGCTTTGACAATTTTTTTCTTTTTCTTTTTCTGTTTTTTTTTTTTTTTTTTTTTTTTTTTTGCTTTTTGGGTCACACCTGGTGTTGCACAGGAATTACTCCCAGGGGTGCTCGGGGGACCATATGGGATGCTGGGAATCAAACCCCGGTTGACCGCGTGCAAGGCAAACGCCCTACCCGCTGTACTATCACTCTAGCCCATGCTTTGACAATTTTTGAAGAGCAAATATCTGTATGATCTAAAATTAAAAACAAACTCACTATGGCCTAAACATCAACCTATAGTGATACCATATATTGGTGAAATGACTGCATTTCAGAGACTTACTAGGTACATGGGCTGGAGCGACAGCCCGGCAAGCTACCAAGAGTATCCCGCCAACATGGCAAAGCCTGGCAAGCTACCCCTGATGTATTTGATATGCCAAAAATAGTATCAAGTCTCACAATGGAGACATTACTGGTGCCTGCTCGAGCAAATTGATGAACAATGGGAGAGCAGTGCTACTAGGTACATAGGATGGTCAGGAGAAAGTTGTAATAAAGTTTGTTTTGTTTTGTTACTCTTTTATTTGGCAGATATGTAAGCAGTCCAAAAAAGGCTGCCAGCTTCCTTTATACTGGCAGCTGAGGCAAGTGTTGACCCAGTTTGATCCTTACTCCTACCTGTGAATAGGGAATAGTATTACAAGGAAGCAATAAGAGATTAGAATTAGTGCCAGTGACCTCTCATTGCAGGGTCAGTCTTAATACCCAGCAGCAAAGAGCCTTTAACATATCTTTGATCTGGTTCTAACTACCTGTTTTCCTAGAATCTAGGATTTTGTTTTCTTTCTGATGTAAGGACACCAAATACTTAAGAGTTTTTTATGTAATTGCTATAGAGACTCTTTAGAGTAGAAAACGTTTAGCATAAGGATGCTGGAAGACCAGTTATGGACCCTTAAGTTTTCTAAGTAATGAGAAGGGGTCACATATAAAGTTCAACGGGGCCTGGAGCGATAGCACAGCAGGTAGGGCGTTTGCCTTGCTTGCGGCCAGCCAGGGTTCATATTCCCAGCATCCCATAAGGTCCCCCGAGTACACCGATAGGAGTAATTCCTGAGTGCAGAGCCAGGAGTAACCCCTGTGCATAGCTGGGTGTGACCCCTCCAAAAAAAGAAAAAAAAAAAGCATATAAAGTCCAAGAGGGCAAAGATTGTGTTTGTATTACCAGCTTCTAGCTCAATGCCCCAGCAAACATCTTTAATAATTTTGGGGGGGGGGGGGGGACGTAGGAAGGGGGAGTGGTTCTGACAGCAGGTTTTAGTGTAGATTTTCCTGAAGAAGGAAGTGATTGCAAAAATGTTTATTTTAAGGTTTAAAACTCAGGTAAGAGACTTTTCATGAACAGAGATAAGGAGGTTTAGGAGGAAAGGGATTTGGTTTCTGCTGTGATGAATATATTTCAATGCTATAGCTTTTACATTTTCATAACTACAGGTTAAACAGGTTTTGTCACTCAGCTAGCTTTGTATGTGACAGTACAATAATCCCTCCTACTGGACTTTGAGCTAGCAAAACAACTGTTAGCTAACAATCTTTGATCATCACCAGAACACCCATGTGAAGAACATTCGCTAGCTATTTTTTTTAAAAAAATGATTTTGCATATAAGATTTCTCTAAACGTTCAAGATGATTAGAAAACTTCTGATTGTCCAGCTTTTATCATTTGTAACTTTGGGAGAAAAAAGGACATCGTTTCTCAGCTTTCTGAATAAAGAGAAGATTGAAACACTCTTTTTCTCCAAGACGGAAGAAACGGTCATCGTGAGGTCAAATTACAAGGATGAACCGCCAAACTCTAGCTATCTCTCTGTGCGATTAGGAGATTCTAAAATACTGCACGTGGTAAACGTGACCAAGACCGTATTGGATGATACAAATTTTACCATCAATTTGGTGACAGAAGAAGATGGAGAGACAAATTTGACCATTCAGCTGTGGGATTCTGAAGGTAGGCAAAAAAGACTAATTGAAGAAATAAAGAATGTCAAAGTTAAAGTACGCAAACCAAGAAAGGACAGTCTTTTCCAGGCATCGATGCTTATTGACAGAAGTCTCCTGATGCTTATCCTACCAGTGATACTGTTAAATAAATGTGCATTTGGCTGCAAGATTGATTTGCAGATGTTTCACATGCTGTGGAAGAGACCCTTGCCAATTCTTCTGGGAGCAGTTACACAGTTTGTTCTCATGCCGTTTTGTGGATTTCTTCTGACTCAGATTTTGGCATTGCCCGAAGCACAGGCTTTTGGATTTGTTGTGACTTGCACAAGCCCAGGAGGAGGAGGAGGGTATCTGTTCGCTCTGCTTCTAGAAGGAGATGTCACTTTGGCCATTTTGATGACTTGCACCTCCACGCTCTTGGCCCTGATAACGATGCCTGTCAATTCTTTCCTATACAGTCGGTTGTTAGGCTTGTCCGGAACATTTTATATTCCGGTTTCTAAAATCATGTCAGCGCTCCTTTTCATCCTTATACCTGTGTTGATTGGAGTAGTTCTCAAGCGTAGAGCACCAGAAAAAGCCAAGTTCCTGGAGAAAATAATCCGACCTCTGAGCTTTGTTTTAATGTCTGTCGGGATTTATTTGTCTTTCAGAATGGGTTTAATGATTGCACAGACGGTTAACTTGGAGGCGCTTTTATTGGGAGCCTTGGTTCCTGGTTTGGGTTTATTATTTGGGTTCTCCCTAGCTAAAGCTTCTCTGCTGCCTCTCCCGCTTTGTAAAAGCGTTGCTATTGAGTGTGGACTACTAAATAGTTTCCTAGCCCTGGCCATCATTCAGCTCTCCTTCTCACAGTCTACGGCTAATTCAGCCTCTGCCGCTCCTTTTATCGTGGCCATGTGCTCCGGGTGTGAAATGTTACTGATCCTTCTGGTATATAAGGCTAAGGAAAAATTTGCTTTTCTCAAAGAATATAAAACAACCGTGTCTGCAATCTAACAACCGAAGTATTCCTGAATCCCTACTTTGGCAAGGGATTGTAAAAGATTCAAAGAATCTCAAAATTGCTGTCTGGTTTTGAGGCCCTGATAATCTTACTGAAAGTTTGATGTAAGGAAATATAAGTGTGCATGTATACAGTTCGATGTGTGTTATATACCTAATGAATAGGACAGATAAATATAGGAGTTCAAAGGAAGACTACCTTTTAATGTTGGCTTGGTTTCATAGAGTTGGATTTGAATATAGTACTCGTGGTCTCAGAAAAATGAAAAGACAGCTATAGTGATAGCACTGTAGCACTGTCCTCCCGTTGTTCATTGATTTGCTCCAGCGGGCACCATTGTGAGACTTGTTACTGTGTTTGGCATATCAAATACATCACGGGGAGCTTCCCAGGTTCTGCTGTGTGGGCGGGATGCTCTCGGTAGCTTGCTGGGCTCTCCGAGAGGGGCAGAGGAATCAAACCCGGGTCCGCCTCATGCAAGGTAAACGCCCTATCTGCTGTGCTATCACTCCAGCCCACAATAGTAATAATGATATATTAATAACCAAATTCATAGCTTGATTTATATAACTTATAGGTATGACAGGCATTTAATAAATGCTTGTGCATATAAATGAATACGTAAATTCCTATTTGGATCCCTCGCTATGTTATCAGAATCAAAAATAGCATAAATATGGCATCTTATGATCTTACCTGGGCTTGTCTTTCTCTTTTCCCATTGAAAACATGACTGCTGGCTCTAGAATCCAAAGTCACCACTCCCCTCTCTTCTTTCTTCCCTCCTCTTCCTTGTATATAAAACCCATTTTTTACAGAAACTGTCCTGCAAAGTCTTCTTATCAGTCTCCTCTCCATTCCAGGTATCACCACTTTTGTTCTCTCTATTGATTCTTCCCCATTCTTTTCTAGAAACTGGCTTTTGATCCCGCCATCACACGAACTTCAATCACAGTAAGGTTAATTTCCCTGAAATATAATTTTATTTTTTTGTTTTTTAGTTGGTTTTTGTTTGATTTTATTTTAGTTTTTTGCTTTTTGGGTCACACCTGGCGATGCTCAGGGGTTACTCCTAGTTTTTCACTCAGGAATAACTCCTGGTAGTGCTTGGGGGACCCTATGGGATGCTGGGAATCAAACCCCGGTCAGCCGCATGCAAGGCAAATGCCTTACCCACTGTGTTATCAGTCCAGCCCCTGAAACATAATTTTATCAGGTACTTTCCTTGCTATGTTTTCTCCCCCTTTTAAATAAAGCATCTTCCTATTGGTGATAGTACATGAAACTACCAATATAGCATTCCAGTTTTATCTCTTACTTCTTTGCATATAGCCTTAACTGCAGTCAAACAGGATCCCAGGATATCTCATGAAGATCCCTTTTTTTCCTGCAAACTAAGGGACTCTACATTTTGACAACTCTGGGACTGGAAATGTGGCACAATAGAGCATGTACCTTGCATGTGATCTTTTAGCTTTGATCTCTGACACTGCTTGACTGTCCCTCCCCCTCAGCACCAACAGGTGTCACCCTGTTGACCCCCAAGTACTGCAGGGTATCACCGCCCCCACCCCCACCCCGTGATAGTAAAAAAATAAATAAATAAATAAATAAACAAAGTAAAATTTAAGCACTCTGACACTCATTTTTTTTTTAAATCCGGGATTAGCGTGTGTGTGTGTGTGTGTGTGTGTGTGTGTGTGTGTCTGTGTGTATCTCACACATACAAGGCAAGTGCTATACTGCTGAACTAGATCCCCTGCTTGGCATTTTACAGTAATTTGTGTTCTTGTTTTATTTTGCTATTTTTCTGTAAACCCTTGGCTATAAAAATTATAAACATGTAAATAATGTTATTTAAATAAGATAATGTAGACAGTGTTTATTTAGCACTCCTCTAGAAATGTCTAGAACATTTCCTATGTCCTTTATCAAATGAATTGGTGAAGCACATACTAGACCAAAATGAAGTGTGTGTGTTTTTGCACCACTTTTGAATTTTTAATAGTGGTGTTAGAATCTAGTTCTTTTTTGCTCTCTTTTCTAAAGAGAGTGTAGGCTTAAAAATGAGAAATATTTTTAAAAAATGAGAAATATTATTCTAAATCATTCTGCTTCCTCTATTCCTAGCCCTATAGTAGGAGATAAATGACTTAATCTCCCTGTAGTGCAGTGAAACTTATGTAAAAAAAGAAAGATAATAGTGTAATCTCCATCAGATTGTATTAGGAATTAAATGAGATCATCCATACAGTATACTTAAAATAATGTTAAGTCTGATAACTGGACATAGATTAAAACTTTGAATATCTTCCTATGTTGTACTATTCACAATTATCCATAGTGTAAAGAAAACTTTGCTTACCAGATTATAAGACAACTTATTTTTCTTCTCATTTTACCAATAGCAGGAGGTATAAGAGTACTGGTTTGGGTGGTCAAGGAGATAGATTATGGATTAGAGTTCATGTTTGTTTCATTTATGGGTACCATATGCCCCCCTTCCCAGCATCAAAGGATAAAGCCACGCAAGCCATGGAGCACTGCTGGTGGGACCTGGTGGTCCCTTCAGTGTAGGTCTCAAGCAGCCCTGGGTCCTGGGTGCCTTACATTCAATTACTGGGAGCAGCCTGATTGATTGAAAACAATGGAATGAGATTATTAATCACTTTATAAATAATAATGGCCTACATAGAATATTTTGGTACTGAGTTCTTTAAAACAAACTTGAAGTCTGATTGACATGCATTTAACTTACATACATTTTTATGAATATCTTGTACTAATCTGGAGACCAGAAATTGCCTTTCTAGTTGTACTTTACTTTGTGACCTCAAACTAGATACTTATCTGTACTTGAATTTGAAATTGTAAAATAGAGACTCAAGCAGCCCTAGCCTGTAGAGATCTGAGTTTGATTCCCAGCACCGTGGCTTTTTCCCTCACCCCTCAGCAATCTGACTTTTAGGATCTTTATCAGCTCCCTAAATATGTGGTCCAGAAGCAAAGCTCTAGGACCTAGCACAGTGGGCAGAGTGATGGGGTGAAGTAACAGATTCTCAGGTTGTTGATATGAAGATTCTTGTTTCTGGTTTTTCAGTTAAGGCAACCAACAACCAAAATATGATCTTGTTTTTACGGGAAGCACCCCCAGTGATGCTGTAGGACCCCTACCAGCTCTGTCCCAGTAATGTTTGGGGGACCACATGGTTTCAGGAATTGAACCCAGGTCTCCAGCATGTGAAACCTGTCCTTTCATTTGAACTCTCTCCAGTTCAGTATGTGAACTGCTTTAAGGCAGGAGGAGTCTGTTTGACTATTCTTTGAAATCTATATTTATAGATTGAACATTATAGGTGCTTAGCAAATGTCTTTTGACTTTATCAAATCAGTGACATCTATTAATCATATGTTATGGAGCCTTACTACACCTCTACAATTCCAGCTTTGTTATTCACCAGCCAGAGGCTTTATTTACTTATTTTCTCTAGGGCTAAATTTATGTAGAAAGTAAGGGTAATGGTAGTACTCCTTTCAGGGTTGTATTATGATAATTAAATGAGTGATAGGATTAAGAATTGAAGAACAAGGGCTGAAGCAATAGCTTCATGCATATGGTGTTTGCCTTGCACACGGCCCACCCGGGTCCTATTCCCAGCATCCCATATGTCCCCTGAGCACTGCCAGGAGTAATTACTGAGTGCAGGGCCAGGAATAACCCCTGTGCATCGCCAGGTGTGACCCAAAAAGAAAAAAAAAATTGTAGAACAATTATGGCCAAGATATAGTACCTTGGGTATGGCAGTTGCCTTGCATGTGACTGAGGTGGGTGCCACTTTGGTAGCCTATATAATCCCCTGAGCCTGCCAGAAATGATCCCTAAGTAAGAAGAAAGACCTGAGCACCACCACATGTGGCCAAAAATCAAAAGAAACCAAAGCAAAATAAACAAACCAAAACAATGCCTAAAATATAATAAATTATTATTTGTGTGTATTAAATAGTCTTTTATCTTAAATGCAGTAGTTGAATGTGCTTGGGAGAAAACTGGAATTTCCCTAGAATAGCAGAATCTCATTGAACATCATAGGTAAGTTTTTGGAAAATGCACATTTTAGTGAAATAATGTAATCAAGTGCTGAATAGCTTTGTACTGTTCAACAACAACTGGTACTATTTTTTAAATCATCAATATTATAATGAAATCGCATTATTTGAGGACCTATTATTTCATGGAAGATTGATTTTTTTACATGGAAAAATTTACCTGACTTGAAGAGGAGAAAAGTTACTCAAATTTTTTTTTTCTTTTTGGGTCACACCTGGCAATGCACAGGGGTTCCTCCTGATTCATGCACTCAAGAATTACTCCTGGTGGTGCTCAGGGGACCATATGGGATGCTGAGAATTGAACTCGGGTCAGCCACGTGCAAGGCAAGCGTCCTTCCCGCTGTACTATCGCTCCAGCCCCAAGTCACTGAAATTATTCTTTTTCATGAGTGTCATAAGGTAAAGGTAAAGGCCCTCCCGTTGATCGTCGATTTGCTCCAGCGGGCCCAGTAACGTCTCCATTGGAGACTTTGTTGTTACTGTGTCTGGCATATCGAATACTCTCGGTAGCTTGCCGGGCTCTCCGAGAGGGGTGGAGGAATCGAACTCGGGTCGGTCATGTTGGCCGCTTGTAAGGCGAACGCCCTACCGCTGTGCTATTATGAGTGTCATAAAGGAGACTAATTGGTTAACTTTTTCTATGCATATCAACTATTTTGTTCTGTTGTGATTGGTTAGAAAAAAGGCTAGAGAGGTAGATATCTTTTTTTTTTCTTCCTTCTTTTGTTTGAGAGGGGTTGGGGTTGGTGTTAGTTTTTGTGCCACACCTAGATCTGCTCAAGGTTTTCTCCTGGCTCAGGGATTATTTCCGGTGGGCTGTGAGGATAGAATCCTGGCTGGCCGAATGCAAGGCAAATGCCATACCTGCTGTAGTATTGCTTCAAACCCTCTTTAAAAACATTTTTTTAAAGTTCCTTTCAAGTTTTAAGAGCAATGATATTATTAAAGGAATTTAGAACCACTACCCCATAATATGCCACATTGATAAGGTAAATTATTTTGAATTGAAGGTAATCCATACGCGGAAGAGTCAAGAGAAACTTCCCTTTCATTTAGTTAAAAATTTAGAAAGAAACTTAGAAAGCGAGCCAGATTTTGTAAAAGAGCTATTAAAATGTAACTTCTTTATCCAGATAAGCTGTCTGTATAGCAGAGCAAACATCTAAATTGCAACACACAGTTCTGACCTTCCTCTGAGTATAACTCCTCCCACATTGAAGACCCTGGTTTAGGATGGTATAAGTATCTCCTTTTTCCTACTTGCAACTCAAATCAAATTTGATTTTCTTCTGTTAACCTCTGATGTCAGTTTAAGTATTAGACCAGTCAGAGGATACAGGAGAATAGAGGAACTTTTTTTCTCTCCTCTACTATAAACAGTTGTTCAAAAATAAAAACTCTATCTGTAATTACAACTTATAATATCACACATGATCTTTTATCAACACACAAAATCTACCTATCCCTGATGGTCTATACTGTATGCAAATTTTTATTATTTATTAAAGGCAAAGGTAAAGGGCCTCTCGTTGATCATCGATTTGCTCGAGCGGGCCCAGTAACATCTCCATTGGAGACTTTGTTGTTACTGTGTCTGGCACATCGAATACGTCACGGGGAGCTTGCCAGGCTCTGCCGTGCGGGCGAGATACTCTCGGTAGCTTGCCGGGCTCTCTGAGAGGGGCGGAGGAATCGAACTCGGGTCAGCCATGTTTGGCTGCGTGCAAGGCAAACGCCCTACCGCTGTGCTATCACTCTAAAGTCCACTAAACAAATGAACCATCAACTAAGAAAATCTTACTAAGTGGAATATGTTTTTTCTTTTTTTCAGTGGTAAAGGAGTTAGTTGCCTTTTAAAATAAGTCACTCCAGAAACTAAAGTTTGCAAGATACTAGGTATTGTTGGGTAGAAATCACCCAGGTATTTCCTCTTTCTTATGAGACTATTGGTCGCCAGTTGCTCAAGAGGAACGATGACAAGACAGTTGGCGTCTGGACAAAGCCCAGAACTCCCTCTATTGTCAGGTGTCTGGAGAGGTATGTGGCATTGGTTCTCATCTCTTTCATTTCCAGGTTTGTTTAATTTGATCTACTGCCATAGATGGAAGTTGGTGAAAATGATATGGTTGTGGTGGGAGAAATACTCGTCCCCAAAGGAGGATTCCTTGGCTGCTTCTGCAAAGGGGGAGGAGAGAGATGGTCGCCTTCAGAAAGGAGACAGCTGCCTTCCTCTACCCCTACCTGAGTCACCCAGGGCAGAGCCAGGGGACTCTGAGCCCTGCTAGTTACAGACTTCAGCAGCCTCATGATTCAGTTGTCAAACTGCACCTGAGTCAGTCTTGTCCTCTTGGGTGTGGGAAATGATATCTGCCACCCCCATTTCTCAGAGGAGCCCTGGAGAAGGGAATTGTTCTTTGCAAGAAAGGATCAAGAGTCGTCCATCTTACCCA